GGACATCCAAACACAAACCATAACATACTCCAAACCTTTCTGCTCTGCACACTTCTATCAGCCCCCCATTCTCTTGTATGGCCTTTGATGAGTGCTCATTTCCATAGTATGAGCCAGGCCACATCTTTTGGGCTCTCCCCACACATTCCCCAGCATGAAGCTTCAGGAAGTAGAGAGAGGCAGGGTTGGCTCAGGGCTTGGCTTTAAGGAAGAGTAGCTCTTATGGTAAGGGCTGAGACGTGGGGAGTAGATGGGGGACAAGGATCCCATGAGGAAGAGGAGAGACTACCCTTTTATTTTATTTATTTAATTTTTTTGGGGGGGTCTTTTTCTTTTTTATCAGTACTGGGGATCGAACTCACGACCGCCTGCCTGTAAGGCAGGTGCTTATGCCACTGAGCTAAATCCCCAGCCCCTCTCTTCACATTTTTGCCCTTTAGACTTTCTTTGTCTCCTCTTTCCTTTTTTTTTTTTGTTTGGTTTCTGGCATAGCTAGAATGGGAAAATGTCCCTGCCCAAAGCTCTGGCTCTTGGCCACGACATAAAGAGAACCTGGGGCAAGATTTCCAGTAAGAGGATTGGAGATGTGCAAAAGATAGCTGAGACACTTGCTTAACTTCAGCTTTGGAGCAAAGACAGAGTCCATGGCTGTCAGCCTCCTCAGCCTAGCCTCACACAGCAGGCATCTGGAAGTCTATTCATTGGTCTGTGACAGACGTTGGCTTCTGTCCATCTGGCTGCATCACTGCCGATGTCTAGACTCCATATCCCAGGCTTTCTGAAAGGCGTTCCCCTGTAAGTCAAGGAAGACCTTGGAGTACAGCTAGCTCAACGGTGTTCACAGAACCCCATCCCCTCTGGTACTGGTGACTCAAAAAGAAATAGTTGAGGGGCTGGGGATTTAGCTCAGCGGCATAAGCGCCTGCATGGCAAACAGGCAGTCGTGAGTTCGATCCCCGGTACTGATAAAAAGGAAAAAGACAAAAAAAAAAAAAAAAAAAAAAAAAGAAAGAGAGGAACAGAAGATGGCCACACTAGGTCTCCACGTGCATTATTTCTGTAGTCCCATTACTAACATCCAAAGACAGAACATGAACTCCTTTCATCTCAGCAACCTGCTCAGCACCCAACACCAGAAGCATCCAATGGGATGGGCCTAATAAATAATGGCCCTGGCTTGGGCATTAGTGAGACCTGGGTTTGCACATCATCTCTGATTCCTGTTAACTGAGGATATGACCTTGAGCCCCAGGATGGCAATCTTATGAAAGCTAGTTTGATGACTCTATGATTAAAAATCATTCAAAGCTAATGTTCTCCAAGGGTCAGAATTCCCCTGTGCCTGAACTGCAATGTACCTATCAGAAACAAAGATTTAGATAACACAGCTGTTATCACAAGGGGAAGCTCCTGGGCACCTGCCATTCCTCCTTTAAACTGGTATTCAGATTATATCACATGCTTGTTGTGATCTTACTTGACAAAGAGGACTAGTGGCTGCACTCAAAGGATGCTACTCAGAAATCCCACCAAGTCCTCGGTGTTCTGCATGCATTCATGTGGGTGCATGGATCCCTTTCCTTTTAGATTGGGATACTGGATGCCTGACCCCTTTGTCTGTACCCTCCACTCTTCACGCTTTATTCTCTGGATCTGCTGCTTCACTGGGGTCCAGGGTAAACTTGGCTTCCACAAGCAAGAAGGAAAGTGTGTGGATGTCATGATGTAAGCCTTCCCCATTGTTCCGCATTCGAGGACATCTTGCTGGTGAGGTTATATCTGACCCCAGAAGTACATCTCTGGCTCAGAGAATGGGATATGGAAGGCTTGGCTGAAGTCTGATGTATGGAACTAGTTACCTCTCTCTTGGGGTACCACCTGTGGCTTTAGGGTTCCTGGAGGATGGGACTAGACTCAGCTCACTCCTAGCCCAGAACCTGGCCCACAGTGGACTCACAATTGACAGTGAATCTGGGCACAGTCATTAGACTGAACCTGTTTCCCCTCCTAAAAGCAGGAGAATGTCTGCACCTCTTACTCACCAATGCCCTAGCTTTATGACCTCAGTAAATTTTTTATGCCTCACCTGTAAAACAGGAGTAGTAACAAAATCTTCCTCACATAAGTGGGAAATCAGTGCTTGGCTCATCAAGTACTTGATCTATTATTTCCATCCTGCTTTAAAAAGTGCTTTAAGGGGCTGGGAATTTAGCTCAGCAGCATAAGCACCTGCCTTGCAAGCAGGTGGTCATGAGTTCGACCCCTGGTACCAAGAAAAAGAAAAAAAAAGACCAAAAAAAAAAAAAAAAGTGCTTTAAAACTACAAAATGAGCCTGGCATGGTGGTGCACGCCTATAATCCCAGCACTCTTGGAGGCTGAAGTAGGAGGATCACAAATTCAAATCCAGTCCTTGTTTCAAAATAAAAAAGGAATGCAGATTAGCTCAGTGCAAAAGCCAAGTTTGATCCTTAGAATCACAAAAGCAAAACAAACAGAAAACACCTTCAAAAATTACAAAATCCTTTTAAAACATGAATTACTAGTTTTCTATCTGAGGACCATATTTCAGATTCTATTTTACTGGGAAAGTTCAAATAATACACGAAACTAACAATAATCATAACCATCTATTAAATGTCAGGCCCCGTTGGCTACTTAACACATACCATGGCAAGGGGCTGCGGGTGCTATCCCTCCCATTTTGTAGTTAAGGAAGCTGAGGCACGAGCACGTTGAACTTTTTTTTTTTTTTTATCAGTACCAGGGATCGAACTCACAACTGCCTTCATGCATGGCAGGTGATTATGCTGCTGAACTAAATCCCCAGCCCCCACATTGAACTTCTAAGTTATAGAGATAAGAACCATAGCATCCAGGATTTCCCAGACCAGGATCCCAGGCTTCTCTTTTCTGAATCTGGTGCCCTCTGAGATTTGGCCCTTGCATCCCAGGCAGGTCTCACAGGAAGAGGTCTTGTGACACAGGAACTGGAGGTGGCAGAAGGACTCTGAGAACCCTTCCCCCATTCTCCACTCAGTGCCCACGGTTCAGGATTCTGACCTAGTGGGGATCTTCTCCGGAGCACAGTGCCTCACCGGCTAGCTTACAAAACTTGGTGTTCCCATCCCTGCGTGGGGTTTACCCCAGGGCTTCCAGGAGAACTAAGAATGGCTACAAGTGTGATCCCTTCCCTCCCGTCCCCTCCTCTAGGGCCCCACTCACGCCAGCTGTTTTTCTCAAGGCCTGAGCTTTGCCCTTCCTTTGTGTGCCTGCATACATCAGCACACATCCATGCCCACGTGCCTGGGACTGCATACCTGTTGTACATCATGAAATGAGGTACAGACACATGCAGATGTGTCTTCACAGTCCTTTTTATTTAACAGTCAGAAAACCCCACGAAGCTCCCCCACCAAGACTTTCCTTCCTTAGCAGATCAGGAAATTCAACTCCCGAACCACCTTCGTTTTTCCCCAGCGCACTCAGTAACAAACGATTTTATTAGAGGAAAGTTATGATAGTGCTTAGGCCAGGCAAACTAGTGAAGCCTGTGTTCTTGAAACCCCCATTTTCCAGCCCTTTGGACCTACCTTTGTATGACCCTTTACAGCTCCCTGAGCAATGTTCTTTAGGCCACTGGGTTACTCGGCCTCCAGATATCTGTGCTGCCCATAGCCACACATCCACGTTGCCTACATCATCCAACTGTTGCCCCAGGCTGGCTGTCAGTCACACCAAACCATCAGTGGAACACTGTCCCTGCTAGGAAAATTTGTCTCATGGGTGCTTGACAAAGAATCTCTGCCCCTGGCCTCACTGTCCTGCCCTGACCCTCTGAATGAATCGCCTGGGGCAGCAGGATGAGGAGGAAGGGGTCATACCCGGTAATGATTCTGCATGGACAGGACTGCTCAGGAACCAGGAAGAGGCCAGATCCTTCAGTCAGTGACCACGTTTGCTCAGATACATCCCCTACCACCCTGTCTATATGCTTCTGTTACCAAAGATATGAAAAATCTCCCTCCACTTCTTGTTTCAAAGCCAGTGAAGGTTTCGACCATCTTCTCACCTTGGAAGAGGAGAAAAGAGGTGCAACCCACTAGAATCTTCTTCCCAAAATCTTCCAAGTACCAGCGTGCCTGAGCGGGGCTGGCACTAAAGGGGCTTGCAAGGTCAAAACCTGGCTTTCTCTCTCCGTGGTACATTTCAGTTTCACTCAGGCCAAAAACTTGCGGACAAGCAGATTCACGCCCTCTCCCTTTCTCAGGTTCTTGATACTTAACCTGCTTCAAGGGAGGTGGGCATCCACAGGAGACAGGTTTCTGGATACCTGCGGCATCTCATACTGGGAGGTTCCAAGTCCCTGTGACGCTACTGCATCTGAAGGCCATTTTCTCGATTGGAAACATCCCTTCTCCTCCCGGCTTCCCATGCAACGAGGAAGCACCTTTGTAGCCCACTTAAAGCACCTCCTACACAAGAGTTGGTGAGGGTGGGGGATAGGGTCGTGTTTGGGGGAGTTGGGGAGAAAGAGTCTTTAGATGGTGTTTTGGTCCTATTGTTAACTGATTAATATTTTAACTTGATCTAGCTCCCTTCTCTTCCCCTGGGTAAACTGAATTCTGTTTGTTCACTATCGTCATGTATTAATTTCACTGTTTTCTTCTTTTTGGACTTAAATCACTGATTTTCCCCCATTTTACGGAAAACATCCAGCTCCCCAGCGATTTGACTAATCTCACTGTCTGGCAGCCTTGGAGGACCGTCTCTTCAATTGGTGTAGAAAACCGTTCCTGTTTCCTTTCCTTTTCCCTAGCCCAGGTGTAGAGCCTTGGTGTGGAGCCCCAGACCTGCCTTCACCGCTTCCCGGGCAGCACACCCGGGCAAAGTTCTCCCGGACCGGCTCAAAGTACCTGCCCAGAGTACATGACCCCCACTCCCATCCTCACCACACACACACACACACACACACACACCAGGCGCAGGCGGGAGGCCACCGGAAACTCAACGATTGCCTTTTTATTACAAAATTGCTCTTCAGATGCAAAATCAGGCCAACAAGCTCAGCAACTCTGATTCTTCACAGCTCCCGCCCACTCTGCTCACCGCGCTCACACCGCCCTCCAAAAACACACAAAACCCCCACGCGAGTGCCCTCTGCCAGACACTGCACGCCACTCACGCCCACCTGTCCCGAACTTTCTTTTTCTTCTTTCTTCTTCTTCTTCTTCTTCTTCTTTTTTTTTTTTACAAAAACAAAAAACCCTTAAGAACCCTCATCCTCCCGCCCCACGCCGAAGGTACACAGAACCGCGCCGGTGCGCGAGTCCCTTCCCGCGCCTCCGCCGCACTGTCCCGCGGTGTCCACGCCCAGCACCCACCCGGGCGGGCGCGTCGCTCACTCGGAGGCGGCGGCCGAGCCGAGAGGGGGCGAGGTTCCGGGCGCCCCTTCTTTCCTCGGCCGGCGACAGCTGCGGGCCGGCGCTCAGTACAGCCCCAGGATGGCGGCGCCCACGTCCTTGGAGGGCCGGCGCTCCTCCACCAGAAAGTTGATCATGCTCTCGGACTTGATGAGCAGGTTGCAGCCCAAGAAGAAAACGCCGAAGACCACGGTGAGCGACAGCACGCAGAGCACCGCGATCTGCGCCACGCGCGACACCCACAGGCTGCGCTCGTCCGGAGCCAGCCCCGCGGGGACCCCATCGCTGGCGGTCAGCGGCGCGCCCCCCGGGCAGCAGTCTAGCCACGTGCCCAGCCCGTGGCTGCGGTTCCCCAGGGCCGTCCCGGTGCCCGCGCCCACGCCGCCCACCTCGTCCAGGCCGCTGTGGTTCAGGAAGGTCGCGTTCATCGCGGGGTGGCGCTGCGCGGCGCCCGGCTCTCGAGGCGCGGTCCTGGGTGCGACGGGAGGCTCGCGGCGGGCGTACTCTTGAGGACTCTGATCACTCGGGAGCAGGGGGTGCGGGAAGGCCGGTGAGTGCCCACGCGCGGGCACCTTCTCGGGCCACCTATCCCCGGGCACTCGGCGGGAAGCTGCGGCCAGGAGCTGCGAGCAACAGGCGGCGCCGAAGAAGGAGCGAGAGAGCGCTGCGCGCCCCTGCGCCCCCGGAGCTGCAGGCCGCCGGCGCTCCTCCCCTAGCAACGGCCCCGCCCGCCCGCGGCGTCTGGGGGCGGGAATCTCCCCGGGGGCCGGATCTTCACCTGGAGTCCCACCCCTGCCAGGGTCCGGAAGACGCAGCCTTCCTGGCCGGTGGAGCTCGACCCATTCCTAGTGGTCCGTAGTGGGCTAGAAAGTCTCCCCCCACCTACCCATTCGAGAACTTGGTGCTCTTAGATCAAGTTGTTATGAAAAGCTGCCCTAAATCTGTTATTGAAACCCAAGTGATCAGAGTAGCAGTGATTCCCACGTGGCCCGTTCTTTCTTTAAACCAGTTAATCAGAGGAATAGCCAGTGGTCACCACCATGGCCCTCTCTGCTATGGCCCTGGGTCCCAGGCCATTTTACACCGCCTCTTCAGGGGACCTCCCAGCCTTGCAGGCGGATGGGGGTACAGGCTAAAACAGGAATGCGCTGGTGCTCTCTGCCTCCTTCCCTAGTCCTCCCCCCCCACACACACATACCCTGCCTCATTTAATTAAAAAATAAGATATAAGGATTTTCTTTTTTTGTTACAAAAATACAGTCATTGTAGACTACTTACAAAGGGTGAATTAACAAAACGGAAAAAACTTTTTAAATCTCATAATCCTACCATGCATCGAAGGTCGGTCGATATTATCACCTTGGTACAAACCCTTCTGGGCCTGTTCTGTTTGTTCGAATCTGTATGCAACATACCAGAAAAAGGGATGTGACTTTCTTGTACACTCTTTCGTACTGCACAGATCTCCATCCTGGACAGTTATCCTTTGCATGTGACCGGTGGATTTCCTTAGGGAATGCTCAGGTATGCCCTCTGCCCATCCTTCTTCTAAGACCTACCCCTGACTCTGCTGTACTCATACATGGAACTTGAAGCCATACTCTTGACTCCGCCCGGCAGAAATCGTACTGACAACTGCAAAGAAAGGGTTGAGGGGTGAGTGGGGTATGGTACAGGGTCTGCCCTGCTCCAGGAGGTTGTGCGGAGGCTGATGCAGTGGCTGGATTTTGCTTTATGAAGTATCTACTTTATGCTTGGTGCACTGAACACATGACATCATTGAAGGGCTCACTCCAACCTCTGAGTTTCAGTTGAACTGTCCCGGTGATGTGAAGAAACAGGTTCAGGGAGTCGCCAGACCACATAGCCAGTCAGGCACAGGCCACACAACTAGTTAGGCATCAGAGGAGAGACTGTTATTTCTTTCCCTTCTTCTGTCATTCTTGAGCTTGCTCTCTGGATACCTTGGAGTTGGGTGTTTGAAGGAGCGGGGAGGTGAAGATACTGTTTTTGACCTGGAGCAGGGAGGTAGAGAGAGAACTTGGGCCTGTGGAAACAGTGACCACCAAGTGAGAAGGAGCCTGGGCTACTATTCAGAGCTGCTAGAAGCAAACCTTTCACAAACAAGTGCCCAAAACTACAACCCAAAGTCTACTTATTTGTTGCAAAAGGCCGACACTCCCATTAAACCTGACCACTGAGGTTTAGTTTAGAAAAGAATTAAAAGAAAAAATAATAGGGCTGGGGATTTAGCTCAGCGGCATAAGCGCCTGCCTTGCAAGCGCGCAGTTGAGTTCGATTCCTGGTACCGGTAAAAAACATAAATAAATAAAAAATAACATGTGCCATAGGCTCACCTCCACAGTGCTACATAGCAAGACAGTCAACCATGGTCTCTCATGTTTTGCAGAGATTCAAAATCAGGAAGCAGTTCAGGTTACCTTACAGTGGAGAAAAGGGAAAATTTTGGGTGTGCCCTGACTGGGGGACTGTTAGCATGGAAAAACTAATGTGGGCTTATCAGAAGAGTGGTTCCTGTAGGATTACAGAAGGGAGCATGTTTACTTTCTCCTGCTTTGGAAATAAGAACAAGATTGGGGAAGGTGCCAGTTACTGATAAAGTTCTGGCAATTTCTATCTAGGTATGGTTAGCTACATTATGATAAAAACTATGTATCACCCATCGTCTCATCCAGTATTCTCTAATTAGACTGAAGGGCATTGACTGGCGATGTGACTAGGGGGCTGTTGGTTTTAATTGGCCCTTTGTGGATTTGGTCTTTCGAAATCTTCCACATCAGGAGTCAGGTCCTGCCTGATTTAAACTCAGCCAGTGCTCGCTGCCCAGTGCTGGCTCTTTCTGTTTCTCCTTTCTGTCCTTTCTGGAACCACCGGTACCATCAAGTCTGGTTGCCATTCGATATGTATTAACCCTTGCTTCCTGTAATAACACTAAAAGTTTCAGGTTTCTGTGCCACAACCCCCCAAACTGAGCAGACATTTATTCTCTTATTCTAGACAGTAGAAATATTATAGGCAGTCAGACAGGACTAAGCCCTCCAGGGAGTCGGTGCAGAGGATGAGAACACATTACACATTACAACTGTGGCTGGAGGCGCGTCTGTCAAAAGCCAGGCGTCAAGATAAAGACGGAATGACCAGGCCTACATGCTTCCCCAAGGGATAAACAATAAATTGAAGATTATACTATAATTGGTATCACCTGGTCCAATAAAGTCTAGACAGACCCACCAGGTGGGTGACTAAGACTTCCTGGTCCATCCCTTTCTGGTTTTTTTTGTTTTTTTTTTTTATCGGTACCAGGGATCAAACTCACGACTGCCTGCTTGCAAGGCAGGTGCTTATGCCACTGAGCTAAATCCCCAGCCCCTGTCCATCCCTTCCTTTAAAGCTCTTTTTCTTTCCATGTACACTTGCTACATGACCTGCTTCCGCAATGGATCAATATCACCTAATGGCTATATTTGTAACTTTATTGGTTGGTCATAGTTTTGACCCACCTTGTCCCCACGTTGTGATTTTGCTCTATAAAACTTCCTCTGTGAAGTGGGGTCCACAGCACCTGTCTCTCAGGTCCCCTCCTGTCTCTCAGGAGCTATTCATCTCAATACATTTTCCCTACTTTTAACTTCCATTGTTTCTTAGAACTCATTCTTCGATTTTGGGGACCAGGAATTTGGCAGGTTTATTCCCCCTATGTCACTCTCACGTAGTTTCTGAAAGCCAGGAGTCTGGAAGCAGCTTAGCTGGATGGCTCTGGTTCAGGGTCCCTCTCAAGACTTTGGAGGGGGTGTTGGCCAGGGCCACAGCCATCTGAATGTTTGCCTAGCATAGAGGATCTACCTCGAAGATCTGTTAGCAGAAGGCCTCAGTGCCTGACAGCAGTTGATGGGGTTACTTAATTGTCCTCATGATACAGCAGCTAACTTACTTCCAGAATGCGTGAGACGCTGTTGGAATGCAGGCTAAAAAGTGAGAAACTGGCAGGAGAGAGAGAGAAAGAGGGAGGCTGCGTAGAATATGTTAGTTGTCAGTGTTATTTAATGCTCACAGCAACTACCTGTTGGGAAGAATCCTTGGCCCCACTTTAAAGATGCGAAAATGGAGATTCAGGAGAAAAGTCTTGCCAGAGGTCACAGAGCTGCTATGAGATAGGGCCAGCTATGAACCCTGAGTGACTCACAACCAAGCCCAAACTCTTCCCAGCACTTAGTTTGTGGGAGTGGACATGTGTGTCTGGGACGGCGTTATAGGGAGAGACCAGAGGTGCCTCGGGGCCAGCCATCATCAACAGGGAACCATTTCTGTCCTCTGCCTCAGACATAGTGTGTGACTTCCTGCTCTAGAAGGTCCCTCTGAGCAGTATCCAGGCCACTACCTGGAGGCTGTATGCCCTGTTGTCCCCACAGCTCTTTCTAAATGAGCCTTTAGCCCTTTGGCACTCCCAGGACATCTGCTCTAGTGACAGCCCCCTTCCCAGAGGAAGGGTCTAATGAAACCTCCTAACTGGTGCCACTGGCTCACTGGCCTTGGGTTCATATCTGCAGGTATTTTAAATTATTCACAAGGTTAATAAAGTGCTCTTTGCATGAGCCATTTTAATAAAGAGGTAAGAATGATTTTATGAACATGCTCAATTGTAACTCCCCTCCAACCCTTAGAGAATTAAAAAAATACAGACAGATATGGCGGCGCACACTCAGGGGGCTGATGCATGAGGATCACCAGGAATTTGAGGCCACCCTCAGTTATATAGTGAGTTCAAGTCCAGCTTGAACTACATAGTGAAACCCTGTCTTGGGGGGGGGAGGAAGGAAAAAAGAAAGAGAGAGAGAGAAGGGAGGAAAGAAAGAAAGGGGAGGGGAGGGGAGGGGAGGGAAGGGAAGGGAAGGGAAGGGAAGGGAAGGGAAGGGAAGGGAAGGGAAGGGAAGGGAAAAGATCAGTTGGTCCACCATCCGGGAGCAGTGCCCCTCTGGGATGTCTCAGAGCCTGTGAATGGTATTTATTTTGTGAAATGATTTCAAACAGCCTTCCCCCTAGAATCCTGTGTACACTATCCCTTGTTGGCAAACTCTTCCTGAAACAAGAAAAGGCTGCTTTCTCCCCGTTTCCTGATCTAATAGTCTCACATTTTGAATCAGCAGAGGGGACGCTAATGACAATTTACTGCATCTGGTACTGAATTAAAGTAAACTTGGGTTGCTCTGTTCAGCCCTTGCCCCCAAGGAGATTGTCACTGCAGGGTTGGCTCCTGCTCTGCTCACTGGAAGGAAATGGAAGGCAGATGGAGGGAGGCCGCCCTGGGGTTCAGGCCAAGCCAGGTGACTTTGCCCAACATGGTAGAAGAGATGCCTTGAGGGTGTCTGCTGTAGTGCAAAGGGTAGTTATAGAGACTACACGTTGAGGGACAGAGAAAATGTCGTAAGTTTTGTGGGACTTCATTTCCTACCTTCTTGCCAACTGTGTTGTGTTTTAGAGACGATCTCGATTCCGGAATCTATTTTTGCTCCTGTTCACTGTGTGATCTTAGTCAAGTCATCCACTGTCTTTGATTGGCTCATCTATTAATTAGGGAGCTTGATCAAAAATCTTCGATGAAATTTTATTTACAGAAACAGATTAGTGGACCAGAGGGGCCGAAGTGTGCCTTCATCTGCTTGTGCCTGAGGAAGCACAGGACCTAAGGTCTGTTCCTGGTCTGCCCCTG